AAAAAAAAAAAAAAAAAATTTACAAAAATCAGCCGGGTGTGGTGGTGCACGTCTGTAGTCTCAGCTACGCGGGAGGCTGAGGTGGGAGGATCGCTTGAGCCCAAGAGGTTGAGGCTGCAGTGAGCCATTATCATGCCACTGCACTCCAGCCTGGGTGACAGAGCAAGACTCTGTCTCAAAATAATATATATATTATGTAAAAGAAATAAAGATGGCATTCTCTGACCCTCAGGGCCTTGCTTGTGTGGGGTTTCCAAGTCCAGCCATCAGTAAGAGGGAAGTTCTTCCAGTCTACAGTGTGTTACTTGTATTGTGGTGTGGGTCACCACCCGACTGATTGCAGGAAAGGCATCTCGGAGGGTATCCAGCCACTGGGCTCTCCCTGGGGATAGGAGGGCAGTCCACCCCTGATCAGCCCTGGTCTGCCCCCAGCTGGCAGCTGTTGTCCAGATGTTTTCGATCCTGGAGGCACTTGATGAAGAGGCAGTCGGATCCAGTGGTGGCGGCAGTGGCACTGGGCCGCTGGCAGCTGTTGCGAAAGGGCCTTCAGGCCCTGTGGCTCCGGGAGGCTCAGCTGGAGGCAGCATGCGGGCGGTACACAAAGATTCTGCTGGCCTGGAGCTTCCAAGAGGTCAGGAGTCCCCAGGTTGGGCCAGGGGGGCTGTGTGAAGCACTAGTGTGTCTGGGGAGGAGACTCAGTCTATGGAGAGGGCACCCACTGGGCATAGGTTGCACCTCATGAATGATCAGCAGTAGATCGTGTAGTTGTGAGTCCACACACCTGAATCAGCTCTGCCTAAGTTCAAATCCTGCCCCCTCTACCACTTGCTAGCTGTGTGACCTTGGGCAAGTTATCTAACCTCTCTGCGCCCCAGTCTCTTTCTCTCTAAAATGGGATGATGATAATAATAGTACATACCTCTCTCAGGGTCATTGTGAGAGTAAATTAATAAGAGACTCAGAACACTGCCTAGCATACAGCAAGCTAGTAGATAAGTGGCTGCTATTTTTTATTAGTGGTTTGCCAGCCAGGGCTGGGAGGGAGCATCTGTGTCCTTCCCTCCTTGGGAAAGGGGTGCTCTGAGAGGGTCCAGTCCCAGCTTTCGTCTTCTAAGGAAAGTGTTGCCTCTTGGGATGCATCTCTCTGTATTTGTTCATTCATTCATTCCTTCATGCCCAAAGAAGGAACGAATAGGCAGAGTAATGATTAAGACCACAGGCTGTGGAATCTGATAGGCGTGTGTTACTCCTGTCCCCTCCCCTGCCTGGTGTTTCCTTGGGAGGCAGATTCAAGGCCAACATCTCCTTTCCCCTTCTCTCTTGAGCCAGTGGAGAAACCTGGCTTTACAGCAGAAACAAGTACAGTCCCACATGCAGGCTGGGCCAGGGTCCCCGCCCTCCAGGAGAGCCCAGGGCCAAGGCCCCTCCTTGGGAAGAAGCACAGTGGCGGACCTCTCCCAGAGAAGCAGGCTGGAACACATCAGGTTGGTCAGCGTGGCCTGGGAAGCTGGTGGCCTTCCTTCCCCCACTTCCTGCCTTACCCCCACTACTTCCTCATCCCCACAAAAGAATGGGAATGAAATAAGCAGATGTGGGCAAAGATTGATGCAAAAAAGATGTCCATCACGGCATCATTTATAATTGTAAAAACTTCAAAACAGCCAGGCATGGTGGCTCACGCCTGTAATCCCAACATTCTGGGAGGCCTCGGCCAGGAGTTAGACAGCAGCCTGGGCAACATAGCAAGACCCCGTCTCTAGCAAAAAAATGTAAACATTTAGCCAGGCGTGGGGGCGTGCTTGTAGTCCCAGCCACTCTAGAGGCTGAGGCAGGAGGATCACTTGAGGCCAGGAAATCAAGACTGCAGTGAGCTATGATCATGCCACTGCACTCCAGCCTGGGCAACAGGGCAAGATCCTGTCTCAAAAAAATAAGCTGAAAAGCAGCCTGAATGCTCAACCGTGAGTGAGGAAATGATGGTTTGACCATGTAATGAACGATTAGCAACCATCCAGTATGATGTTTAGGAAGATTTTTTATTTGTTTTGTTTCCAATCATAGCAGTAATGCATGCTCAATCTGAAAAATATTCCAAATAGTTGAAGTATATTAATTAACTTGAAAGCTTCATCCTCTCATAGCCCCCTCCCTGGAAGTATTTTTATGAATATTTGCAAAAAATAAAAAAT